TGCCTGGCTAAGGACAGAGCAGCCAAAGACAACATTTGAAAAGGAGGACAAACAATGTCAATATTCTTAGTAAACAAACAAGAAGGAAACAGGAGAGTATCTTTGGATTTGGCAACGAAGTCCTTGGTGATTCTGTGAAGTGGGTGTAGGTACAAAGTTTGCAGTAAGCTGGCAAGAAGGAAAGTGAAGACAATGGGGATGGCCTGTGGCTCAGTGGGTAGAGTGCCAGCCCCATATATCAATGATGGTGGGCTTGAACCTGGCCCTGGCCAGCTAAAGCAGCAATGACAACTGCAACACACACACACACACAAGCCAGGTGTTGTAGCAGGTGGCTTTAGTTCCAGCTACTCAGGAGGCTGAGACAAGAGAGTTGCATACGCCCAAGAGTTGGAGGTTGTTATGAGCTGTGATCCCATAGCACTCTACCGAGGGTGACAAAATGAAATTCTGTCTCAAAAAAAAAAAAAAGTGAAGACAATGAACACAGATACCATTTTTCAAGAACGCTGGCTATGATAAGAGAAAAGGGATTGGAGGGGGTATAAGTGGAAGAGTTTGCTTTCAAAAAAGAATAGTAGTAGGCATGATGAAGTGTGGATGGGAAACAGCCAGAAGGAGAGGTCAAGCTCTAGAGCATGAAGCCTGATGCTGGAAGGAGGTGGCAAGGGGGGTTGTGTAGCATGATGGCTCACGCCTATAATCCTAGCACTGCAGGAAGTCAAGGCAGGAGGATTGCTTGAGGCCTTGAATTCAAGATCTACCTGAGCAAGGGTAAGACCCATCTCTACAACAAATACAAGAATTGGCTGGGCATTGAGGTACATGCTTGCAGTCCCAGCTATCAGGAGGCTGAGGCAGGAGGATCATTTGAGCCCAGGAGTAAGCTATGATGATACCACTGTACTCTAGCCTGGACAGTAGAGCAAGATTAGCTCAAAGGAAAAAAAGTCTATCCAATGGCTTTTTTTCTTCATTGAAATAGGAAATAAGATTATTTGCCAAAAAAAAAACCAAGATGGAGTTAGGAAGGCCTGGAGGCTTGAGAAGAATGAATAGCAACAAAGAGGCTGTGGTGAGTGGAAGTAATAAGGCCTGCTAAACATGGCAGGGGGCTCACACAGTCGAGTGTCACAGAGTGAGTCATATGCTTCCCATGAAATGTAGAGGGGAAGAGGTGGGGTAGAAATCAGGGATGTGGTTTTTGAGTGGGTATGAAAGGCAGGCAATGAGGCAGGGGAAGAGAAATTAAGTGATAGGTCAATTTGTGCATTCTCTTATCAATTCTTAGCAATGCCTACTCAGTTTAAGCAAGGGAATGAGGGGCTGACTTGGGAAGAAAAGAAAGGGGCAGGTGACAGCCTTCAGTGGGTGCAAAGGCATAGCAGACAACAGAGCAGGGGTTGCTATAAGAAGGGAAGAGAGGGCTCAGTGCCTGTAGCTCAGTGAGTAGGGCACTGGCACATACACTGAGGTTGGCAGGTTTGAGCCTGGCCTGGGCCTGCTAAACAATGACAACTGCAACCAACAAAATAGCCAAGCTTTGTGGTGGGTACCTGTAGTCTCAGCTACTCAGGAGGCTAAGGCAAGAGAATTGCTTGAGTTCGAGTTTGAAGTTGCTGTGAGCTGTGACGCCACAGCACTCTACTGAGGGCAACATGAGACTCTTTCTCAAAAAAAAAGAAAGGGAGAGAGTATGAAGTCTGGTAGTGGGATAAGGAGGGAGCAGAAAGACACAATATGGCTCTACTTACCTCTTGAGGTGGGACATCATGAACAGCCATCACTGGATAGCTACTGGGGGATGATGGGTTTGGTGAATACCAAGACTGTGGTTAAGTCCAGAAAGTAGAAGGACATCAAGGAGAAGTCTGCTGTGTAAATAGGGACCACAATCATCTGTCACAGGACACTGCAAGTGCCTATGTATGTCTCTCCCTGCCTGCAGTCCCGTAAGTAAGTCCGGAAAGGCAGGGCTATTTGAGTCCACTTGAGCCCTGGCCTCTAGCCTGGGCCTGGCAGACAGGAGCTATGCAATGAGCTGTGGGATGGGCAAGCAGTGGCAACCCAGAGGGACATGCCAGGTATGGTGGGAGTACAGTGGAAGAAGTTAGTCAAGGCCATCTGCAAAGAAGGCAACAGCTGAACTAAGCTTAGGTGGAAAGTTTGTAAGGAAAAAAAGGAGAGCGAAGCATTATCAGTAAAGGAGAGGGGACATCCAAGTACACTAGGCTGCAGACTATCGAGTGTGCTTTCTGGCAACTTAACTGAGAATCACTGCCCTGAGAGGCCAGGAAAGAACAGAGAACTCCTACAGTCCACTGAACACTCTGGCTGAGAGACAGAAAGTCCTATTTTTTTTTTTTTTTTTTTGAGACAGAGTCTTACTTTATTGTCCTGGGTAGAGTGCCCAGGCATTGTAGCTCACAGCAACCTCAAATTCCTGGACCCAAGTGATCCTCTTGCCTTAGCCTCCCAAGTAGCAGGAACTATAGGCACGTGCCACGATGCCTAAGTTTTGTATTTTTAGTAGAGGTGGGGTCTTGCTCTTGCTCAGGATGGTCTCCAACTCCTAAGCTCAAGTGATCTACCTTCCTTGGCCTCCCAGAGTGCTAGGATTACAGGTACCCCGCTGTGCTGATCATTTTCTGAAGGCAGTGGTGGAACTCCCTGGCTCACTACTCCAGGCTGCAGAAGGATCCTTATTGTTATTTGGGTTGGAAAAAGATGGAAAATCCCTTCTGCTTTCCAGAGCACTACAGCTGTTTGACCACTTAGGAACTGGAGTTAGCTGGTTGTTAAACCCAAATCTCTTCAGATGGTGGGCTCTCAAGTGTGTGTCACTGTGCAGATGCAGTTGGGGGGCAGGCAGGAAAAGAGGTGATGAAGCCCCAGGGACAAGCCATCAAGCCCTGGGGCTCATTTGGCAGCAAGGCTGCCTGGAAACAGCTAACTGAGTTCTACTCTCAGCTGGAGGACTGGTTCATCCCCATGGCTTCAATTACATCTCTGTGCTGGCAATTAAACCGTACACCTCCATCTCCTCTTGGATGTCTCATGGGAACCTTTGAGTCAACATGCCTAAACGGAGTTTGCTGTCTTCTGAAAATCCCATCCTGGTTCAGTGAAAGGCACCAACATCTTGCTGGTCTCCAAGCAACATCTGAACACATCCCTGACTCCATCTCCCTGTCCTGCCATCAGCTCACCAATGCCTGTCACTTCAATGTCCTCTGAAAATTTCTCTCTTCTGCTCTGGCCCCAACATCAATCATCGCTCCCACCATTTCCTGCCTGAGATATCAAACTCAAGGTTTTCCTGTGTGGAGTATCACACCTCCAGCCTACCTTTCACGGCACCACACCATGGTCTTGGAATACAGATGTGACCAGGTGTGTTCTTTATTTACAACCCTCCGGTGACTTCCCCTCACCTGTAGGATAAAGCTAAGCTCTTTAGCAGGCCTTTGAGGCCTCCCTCAACCCCACTGTGCATCTTGTCACTCTTCCACTCTGTTTTGACAATATCAAGCTGCTAGGGAATGTGCTGTGCCTGCTGAGGGCCCTTCTACTGAATTTCTACTTACTACCTATGACTCAGCTCACAAGTTGGCCATTTCCAGGCAGGATTGCAGACTTTCCTCATCCTGGAACTTCTTATGTGCTAACATGCTTGTCCGGTTTTGTGTCAGTCTCACAACTGGACTGAGTTTCTCCTGGGTGAGCACTTAACTGCATCATACTTTGGCTGCCAGGACTTGTAGAAGCATTTCCTGAACTGAATGAAGCAAGTCCTCATCTTGGAGGAATCCAGCAAGTGCTTCTGAGGCCAGGTCTCGTGTTTTCTCCAATCATTTGCCCCAGGCTCCCTGACCCTGATGCTTCCCAAACGCCTTCAGACTTTCCCAGAACAGTGAGCCGAGCTGAGGGCTGTGGCAGTCAGCATCATTCATGCCCCAGAAATCTTGGGGTTCAGGGTGAGGGAATCCTCAGGGACGAGAGGTGGCAGAGCTGGGCTCCCCCCCACACCCACCTTCTTTTTCAGCTTGTGCCGGGCCCGCTTGGCGGCCCTGGCGCTGTTGGGGACTTTGGGCTCCGTGCTGTTGATGAATTCCAGCAGCTCATCCACATCTCGGTGGTCCACGGGGGGCTCCCCAGGGATCCCGCCCAGGGCGCCCCCCTTCATGGGCAGCTCCTCTTTCCGCCTGGTCAGCCTTGAGCGGAGCTTCTCCCGGATCTCAGTATAATTCCGACTCGTCGGGGCAGCGGGTGGCTGGGGGAGGGGGAGGTGCTGACATTACACCCTGGACCTGGGGGGCCCATAGCATTCCCACCCGCTGGTACCAAGTATGTGGTGAGAAGCAAGATAACTGTTTTCTCTACCATCAGCCACCAAGGCTGAGTGGCTTCACCCTCAGCCAGGGTCTGAACCGGTGAGTGAAGGGAGTGGGAGGGAATAGGGCAGAGCTGGGCAAATGTTCACTAGGGAGCCAGGAAAGTAAGTTTGAGCCTGGGCCTCATCACTGGGAAGCTGTATGACCTTGGGCAAGTCACCAAGTCTTTGTGAGCCTCAATTTTGTCATCTCTAAAATGAAAATAATAACCCTTAGCTTAAAGATGACTAGCAACTTAATTGCTTTCATTTCTTCTATCCTCAACTGCTCTACCCTAACCGGCAGTCCTTTCCTCTTCACCTTATGAGACTTCTGAACTGCTTTCTCCCCCTGTCCAGAAACAGCATGTACTCTGATCTGAGACTCCTTCCTGGCGCCGTCTGTGCTCACGGCCTGTCCCTCGGCTGGCTGTCACACTTGGGGAAATGAGAGCCTTTCTGCTTCCACTCTGCCTTCATCACGCCCAAGCGTTCACTTCTCTGGGATTACACACGTATACATACTCATCAGAATCATAGCTTTCTCTCTGCCACTTCCTTTCCTAAGGAAAAAAAGTCAGTCTTAAGAGAAACCACAAGAAGAGCAAGGGTAGCAAAATGTTAAAAAAAACAAAACAAAAACAAAAACAAAAAAAAAAACCCAAAACCAAAAAAAACCAAAATTCTACCTCACAAACATGCTGTGAGGATCCGGTGAGCGGACGCAGGTGTGAGGACTCACACAGTCCCAGCGAGGGGATCAGCACCAGCACTGTGAGCAAGAGGTCTCTGGGCAGAGCAGGGCACACCTTCTGCTCACCTTGGCTGCCCCCCAGCCCTCTCTAGCCTGGCAGGCTCACTCACCGCATTGTGGCCGAAGAACTCACAGTAGCAGCAGTCACAGAACTTTCCATCTCTCTGGTGGGTGGAGGATGAGGTACAGGAACTTCGCTCAGAGCTGCTATCCTCTTCCTCACCCAGCCCCTCGTCTGCCTCACAGGACTGGGGCAGCTGGCAGGCCAGGCCACTGTGTGCAAATTTGTGCCCCTTGCACCCAGGGTCTCTGCTGAGGGGGAGAGAGACAGGCCCAGAGGTGAGGCAGGCCGATGCAGGAGCAGACTGCAGCAGGAAACATCCTGCCATCCCAACTGCCCACCACCCGCCTCACTCCAGAGGTTTGAGGCAGGCTTATCAGTGCCTTTCCCAAGAGGCTGACACCTATGCTGTCCCTCAGGGCCCATCATGACCACAAATGCTGCTCTTCCAGAAAGGTTTCCTTAGGACTCCCCTGTTTGTGCCCACTTGTGCCCTTCTCAGGGCACTGCGTACACTTATCTCCATTCTCCCACTTCTTGTTTGTTAAGGTGGGGACTGCGTCTCTTCTATTTTGGGGTTCCAGTGTATAACATAACCACCATACATGCAATAGGTGCTTCATAAGTAGGTCTGAACTAATCAGTGGCCTGTTGGTTACCCTGAACTCTCAAGGTGATCAATGAGGTCAGTCTCTTTTTACTTTCTAAAGTCCTTATGACTGAGTCATGCTCTGCAGCAGTGAGTGGAGCTGCTTTAACCACAGGTCATAGAGCTGAGGGAAAGCAAGTGTGTCTTTTGGGCCAGATTATAATATGGATTCAGCATATTATTTCTAAGCATCCCCCGGGTCCTGCTAATTAAGTGTCATCATTCCCATTTTGTAGTGGTAGAGACTGAGGTTCAAGGTGCCTTTTTGCCCCTACCCAATAGGAGGCCAGGACTCAAACCCATGTCTCTGTGTGTAAAGCTAATTCTCTCTCCCTTGCAATATTCTGCCTCTGGACTTTGGGAAGCACTGAGGGCAGCTTGTGATACAGAATATTTTGCCAAGGTCAGGATGACACATTGGCCCAGAATGTTCCACAACTGGAGCTGGGAAGAACCACAGCTCTTAGATAAGCTATCAGGAGACGAAGTGTTACATGGTCTGGTCCCAATGCTGTGGCTCAGGTGGCATGGGAGCTGAGAGCTAGAATGAAGTGCCAGGAGCTGTGTGGACACCCAGCCCCCAGGGCAATCCAACACAGTCCATCTCTGTTGTTAGAAAGGGCAGTTAAGCACATGGCAAGGATTCAAAAAGAGGGTGGCAGGAAACATTATCAGTGATGCTTACAGAAGTTTATTCCAAGTTGCCTATTCTTTATCTATTACATTAGCAAAACTGATTCTAGAAAAATTAAAATACCCAAATGTTCTGAAGAATATGGAAAAATTAGAACTCATTATTGGTAGTTACATCAGACAGCCCTCCTCAAAATAAAATAAAACACAAAAACACAAACACCCTTAACTGAGAACATTTTTTTATTCTGAGGAATCTATACCAAAAAGAAAAATCCAAAAGGAGGGAAAAGCCTTAAGCATAAGACATCTTTTTTTCTTTTCTTTTTTTTTTTTGAGACAGAGTCTCACTTTGTCACCCTCGGTAGAATGCCGTAGCTCACAGCAACCTCCAGCTCTTGGGCTTAGGTGATTCTCTTGCCTCAGCCTCCCAAATAGCTGGGACTACAGGCACCTGCCACAATGCCCGGCTATTTTTTTGTTGTTGTTGCAGTTTGGCTGGGGCTGGGTTTGAACCCACCACCCTTGGTATATGGGGCCAGCGCCCTAATCACTGAGCCACAGGTACTGCCCAAGCATAGGCATCTTTAGAGATGTTATTTATAAAGTTAAAATGTTGGAATGATTAAATGTTCAGCAACTGAAGTGCAATGAAGTGAACTATAATCAATGTTCCCCACTTTTTTTTTTGGTTGCAGTTTAGCCGGGGCCAGGTTTGAACCCGCCACCCTCGGAATATGGGGCCAGCGCCCTACTCACTGAGCCACAGGCGCTGCCCAATGTTCCCCACTTTTAAAATTGTGGGCTAAGAACACCACACAGGAACACAACATGTTGAAGACGTTAATGCTAAATGAGAATCAGAGAGTGTTCAACTGTATAGACACCATCAACATCACATGTGAAGACACATGAGGGGAAAAAAACTGCCAAGAGTGATTGTATTAGGGACAGGGATTTTAGAATGGGAAAATATAAATGCATAATAAACACAGATCTGGTTTGTAATATAAAAACATACACTGATCTTCTCCAAAGAATTCTTTCAAATATATAGAACTCTGTGAGTTGACCACCCAAAGGACTATAAAACAAACTGGTCAACACACAGAGGTGGTCAACATAAGGAACTACACCTATGTTGGTGGTTTTGACTGCACCTAATCTCACCTGATCTCAGAAGCTAAACAAGGTTGGGCCTGGTTAGTACTTAGATGGGAACTAGGCCTACTGTGCCGATCGTACATGTCCGGTCTTTGAAAATTAGGTCAGCTTAATGAAGTGGTCAATGTAAAGAGGTGGTCAACTATGGAAGTTCTACTGTATGAATATAACCTTTCTTAGCACTTAAGAGCTATTTCTAGGCAACTCCCCAAAGGACATAAGTTCTCATTCAAGAACAGATTCATGGGTCAAGGATGCTTTTTTTGCTTTTTTCTTTTGAGACAGAGCCTCAAGCTGTCCCCCTGGGTACAGTACTATGGCTTCACTGCTCACAGCAACCTCTAACTCCTGGGCTCAAGCGAGTCTCCTGCCTCAGCCTCCCAAGTAGCTGGG